ATTGCCTCTATTCCAATTTCTAGTGACCCTGTAAGGCAGCAAATAATTGATACTTTGGATTTCAGATGCAATATATGTTTATGGGAACAGAAAGCCTCATTTTTCACATGAGGAGTATTTGGCAGGTACAAATTGCTGACTTTGTCATTAGAAGTCTAAGGCATAGCCATTTATTTACACCACCAGGGTTTAGAGCAGTGGTTCTCAAACTGAGATCCCAGCAGAATCAGCAGAAACAGAGACCTTGTTAGAAATGAACATGATCAGATCTGAGTTACAGTCAATTAATATTGGCCTTCTAGCCATACTTTCTTACATGATATAATTTAATTCTGGACTTAAGATGCCTTTGGCCATAACTCCATTTGAAGGGTGCTGTCTACTATAATAATGGACAGGATTACGGTAAGATTAAGACCTAACATTACTAGAGACCTTTCCTTGGGGGCAGCTTTAGACTCGGCCTTAGTAGTTGTTGTCGGGTGCTATCAAGCTGGCTCTGACCCACAGCAACCTTATGCACAACCAAATAAAACATTGCCCAGTCCTGAGAAATCCTCCCAACTTTTCCTCCGCACGACCCCATCATTGCTGCCATTGGGGCTTTCCAATTCCCTGAGGAGCTTCCTCTTTTCTACTGCCCTCTACTTTACCAAATGTGAACTCCTTCTCCAGAGACTGCGCTCTCCTTACAATATGTCAGAAGTTTGTTTGACCAAGTCTTTCTGTCCTTGCCTCTTAAGTAGAAGGTGTGAACCAATCCACTCCTTTTATTTCCTTAGGGGCATTTTTAAGACTCTACCTCAATAGAAGGTTGTGATTTAAAACACCATGCTCTGTTTTCCTTGGATGTGGTATATACATTGATGCCACCATACATACTAGCACACATCACCTCCTGGAAAGCCTGACAGAGGCTCTCCTGACAGAGCATTGGTAGAAACAAGAAGTAACTCAGCCACTGTGCTTTTGGACTTTTTTGGGGGGGGGCGGTTCTTACTCTGGACCGTGCATTTGGATTAACTCTGCCTGACTTTTGGGTTCCAGACACTGTTGCTATGTTTTGTAAATTTCTGTGGGACATGGCAGTAAATTGCAAAACTCAGGGACATGAGGGGATATGTTCAAGGGAGGTGGTGGGTGGGGGCGGAGTGGAGCAGAATAGCATCTTGGAAAAGTTGGACATTTGGGACCCTTTAACCTCCAACTCCTTGGGACTAGCCTGGTATTAATTATTCTAAAAGAAATTCTTGCCATAGCCTTTTTGCATAGCTATTGAATTAGAAATTGTAAGCCCAAGACTCAGCCTTGAGTTTGCTGGTTTATTGTGACAATTCAATTGATTTGTCCATTCATTCATCTGTTCTACAAACTTTTGACATGAATCATGATGCATCATATAGCACAATGGCAACAGTCCTATTTTTGTGCCCTTCAGAGATACAAGACCATTCCTCCCTCAAAACAAATTCCACATTTTGATAATAACCCACTTTTCAAAATAAAATTTTTATACCACCATCCAACACACTCAGATACAGACATTCTTGAGGTTACATACCACAGAGCAATAGATATCCCTAATACCTGTGATGCACTTAGATAGGCTAGTCTATTCCCATTGACCAAAACCCAATGCATTGATTTTATGAACCAATAATGGATCACCACTCACACTTTGATACACGCTGCGGAAGAAGTAAAAGCAGGAAGACTTACCAGGGCAAATTCCTTGTTGAGCATCATCTGCTCCACCAGGGCTGACTCGTTGTGGAAGAGGTGGGGCTGCATATGGCTCCACATGTGAGGGAACCACCAGAATGCGTCCCCCGACCCCAGGAGGCAGTCATCCCCTTCATCCTCCTCCGCGGTCCCTGGCAAACAGGAAGATCAAAAGGGCGCAAGTGAACATGTCATACCAGCTTAAAGGTTGTTTTTGTCAGGTGCTCATTATTCTTCATACTGATATAGAACCGATGCTGCGCTGTTTTAATCAGGGGGAAAAAGGCTCTAGTTTAAATTACCCCAGCGACATTAAGCATTAGGATGTGGGGTGGGATGGAATGGGGTGAGGAAGACCCATTTCAGGTCCACGCAGTTGCTTCATTGAGAATGTAGGGGGCAGGTCATCAACGAAATGGTTTGCAATCACTATTATGCGGTGATACTTAAAAAAATAACCCAACTTACTTTTAAATAGCTTATTTCTGTTCAAAGTTACCAACAAATAATTACTTTCTCATTTGTTCAGAAGGGGCCAATTAAATGAGAGATTATGATCATTTTTCCTCTTGCAGTGTTTCCTGCATAGAATGTTAATGCTAAAACTTATCTGATGATTTTTCTAATATTGTTTTCATCACAAACAATTCTATATGCCAACTGAAGTGTATTAGAGTTAAAACGCTAAACCATATGGTTGTGCAAAGCTACCATGTAGAGTGAGAGTCCTAATTCCATTTTGTGTCCTGTCAGAAATTCAGATTTATTTGAGTTCTTTCTGACCATTAAACCAGCAACGTGCTAGAGCACTTCCAGGGCCAGCTTGTGCTCTGTATGGGAGTGTGATGGTACAGCTCAAAGTGGATTGAAAAACCCCACCTGAGAGGTGGGGTTTGTCCTCAGGCTTACACAAATGACCAGGAAATTGCCTGAGCTGTCTTTCACGATACATGGAGTCTAGCCACTTGTTGTCTGGATATGTCAAACATTAGGGGTTCTGGTGAATATGACTCTTGGCTGCATGGTCATGAGCAGTACTCCAGTCACCATTTAACCAGGCTATCAAAGCCCAAGAACCAATCCTATAAACTTCTTAGTGTCCAATTATGTGCTTATGAAAATCATGGTTCTTTCCCTGGTCTGGTTGGCAACAGTGTTCAATCGATCTACTACCAATCATGATTTTACTACTAAATGATTCTCTTCATTTTCCCATCATATGTAATTAGCCCTATGGCAGAAATCCATTGGTCTCATGTTGATAGTTTTCATCATCCAGGATGATTTATTTTAGTTTTGTTTTTATCTTATTTTAGGATTAATAAAAGGATTTCTAAAGAACGGATTTAAATTTGGGTGGCCTTTTTGTTTGTGTCTGTCCTTAGCACAGAGGAAATATGTATAGTCAAGTAAAATGCAACATTAAAAAATGAAAAAATCTAGAGATAACCAATGAAGATATTTTTGTATTCTTTTTACTTTAAATCTCTTTTCTAGTCATTATTTTAAAAAAACCAATCTCTTATATAAAAACAATTTTTTAAACTAAATATATATTTTTAAAATATACGTATATGTGTGTCCTTACATATATTTGGTGTCATTTTGAGTGCCTGCTTCTATCACTTAATTAGCTATGTGATCATGGTCAGGTTAACTTTACTCAGTTTCAATTTCACTATTGGAAATCATGGGTCTTAGTGAAGAATAAGTGAGAATAAATGATGGAAGCATTTAATACTCACAGTGTAAATTGCAGGTAGTATATACTTAATAAATATAGGTATCTCCTGCTTCATGAAAGTAAAATTTAGTGGTTTATACCTTAGATATTTTTAACATTTATTGTTTTGTACATTTTTAAAAACATTACGTGGTTAGATGACAAAATTGTTAAAGTCTGAGACTAGATCCTTTTAATGTATACTGCAGCATGCCACTCTTCTATTGCTGTGAATAGGTGAATAATCCACCCCAGATTGTGGTAATACATTCTGTTGACGTAAAAATAATCGTGGTGTAAAAAACACTAAATGTTAATGAATGCTACACACAGTTCTTTGATACTGCACAAGTAGCAAACAAATACAAGTCTTGAAAGTAATAAAGTATAAGAATATGATGGGTAGACAATAAGACAAACAAAACATAACAATGACAAAAGAAACAACTGTGATGCAATTGGGTTTCCATAGGGCTTTCAAAGCATGGAGTTTTTATAGCAGCAGACTGGTAGATTCTAACCTGTCTAACATGGAGACCTGTTTCCATCAAGAGAAATAAACAAATACTGTTTCTGAATCAGAATAAAAAAGATGATTAGTCATGATCTAGATTTAACTTTGGATCAATTTAGAAGGTAAAGACTCAATATGAATGTGGATAATTTAAAGGCACCTTGTGTTAAATAGGGTCATTTAAGTACATGTTTGGTGTGAAAAAAAAATAGAAGGAGAATTCCAAAATTCAAGGGAAAAAAGGAATGAAAAGATAATGGAGTTTCCCCACAGACTCTGAGAAGTCCCTGTGCATGCGTTCACTGCACATTAAATACATGTTGGTGGCACAGTGGATGAAGCATTGGGCTGTTAATTCCAAAGCTGGTGACTAATCCACCAGCCACTCTGGGATCCACTAGGACCCGAGGCTCCTACGGGAGCCATATCATTTCCCCTTCACTTTAACTCACACTATGTGTACTACAGACTCACGGTCCATTGACTCCTGTTAATGTGTTAACAATTTTAAATATGGAAATGCAAATGACCGTGAGTGTATCGTTGCCTCAAATAGGGTTCAGGTATGAAGTGTTTTTGCTGTAGACTAAGTTTTGCTCCTGACCTTCAATTGGCGGAATGAGGCATATGTCATGAATCAACTGCCACTTCTCTCACAACCTAGCCTTCCGGAACAATCATGTTGTACTTTGAATATAGAATATTTAAGAAATGATTTCAATCATTTACCTTCAACTGATCCTTATTAGGAGTACTAGGAAGCATATAACACATACTTGGGTAGAACGGAGACCAAATGCTCAATTTGAAGAAAATCTATAAGCAGTCACCACAAGATTGAGAATGTTTTTAAAAATCTTTTCTATTTTAGATCATAGGTTAATTTCCTATCATTCTTTCCCTTATTATTAACAGGGCATATAGTAATAGCTACAGGATCCAGGCCTGGAAATAGCTTAGTAAAAAACAGGACCTCAATTCACATTGAGGAACTACTGTAAAATTTCAATATTTATAAGTCCAAATAAATAAACATATTAAATATGTTCATTCACTTCTATAGCCTGGGTGAGTGTATTCTGGGTCATAACCACTCTAGAGCAGGGGTGGAGTGCATCCAGTCTGAGAAATCAGCAATATCAGGTAACATCACACGGCTCACCAAAAAGAAGTAGGCCCAGCTATCACATAAGGTTTGTGTTACTTAAATGTTTGACCAGATATAGTAGTAGGCTAATGTTAGGTGGATATGTTTGTATTGCCCATGAATGATTCTTGTAAATATTAAGAACTTCCCAGTGGAGTTTCAAAGGCTGTAAATTCTTATGAAACCCCAGGTCCACTCTACGCATGCAGAGCGGCTGGCGGATCGGAATCACCAACTTTTGGATTAACAACTTAATGCTTGTGCCACCAGGTCCATTTAATGAACAGTGAGCCCATACAAGAGGACTTCACAAAGTTTCTGGAAAAGCCCCATTATCGTTTTATTACTTTCCCATGCACTTTTGGAACCCTCCTTATATACTTTTTACACCTAATATGTAGGTACTTACATTATGTATAAAATATCATTTATAGTCATTGTTGGCCATATTCTACCTTTAAATTATCCACATTCAAATTGAATATCTTCAAAATTGATCTAGAGTGCAATTTAGATGATTACTTATTGAATAAAATATTTGAAGAATTCATCTATTTGCCATCATTTTTAGAGGATCTATATTGGGATATGGGTCTAAAAGTTCTTTCAGCATGCCAAAAGAGGAGTGACTTTAGATAGAACTTGACTGTATGTTAATTTGCTGAAAGACAAAGTTGTAACCTTAAAATAAGATACATAAAATTCCAGTGTTTGCATTATACCATGTTCAAATATTTTCTCATTGTGTGAAATATTGTGATTTTAAATTGCCAGCTGTTTCCTAATTTTCTTTATACAATGAACCTGATACAATGTGAGCATAGAATCAATTGTTCTAAAATATTACATAGGAATGACTATATGGTGTAGAAAATTGGTTAAAAGCTACCTACAGTTCTGACATTGGACACTAGAGCTGTGGGAACAATTAAATCATTTTATATTACTTAATTCCTATACAAAAGTCCTTTCGAAAAAGCAAAAATTATAAACACTAAGGTAGCACTACAGTACATTAAAGACTGTTCCAAATTAGATTTATTTTATTATTAAAATTTCACATTTCATATACGTTAAACTGATATACTCTCTCTCTGTTACCCTAACTAATTAAAATTCCTTGGATTGATCCCAGGCAGTCTGGTTGTAATATTTTTGATATCTAGTATTTTAGCCATTATTTTATGTAGCAAAATAAAAGCAAAAATAAATATATAAATAAAATCAAACAAAGAAAAAAAAATCATTTTTATATTTAAAGTTTTATAGTATCATGGTTATTATTGGCAAATCAGGTGTCTTATTAAACACCAACCTTAACAACATTGGCAAACTATATCTAATAATATTCATGAAATATTTATTGAACCAAATTCAATCCATTCCTAATTATAAAAAATTGCAATGGTTGGGACCAGAAATTGTTTTCTGGACAATGAAATGTTCACCTTTCCACATCTAGAAGGTATCTTAATGTTATAAATGTATCCATTTTTTAATTGGGCTTTCCTTACAGAAGACCAGTGAGGTTTTAAATCTTTTCAGACTAAATATTTCACTAGACTCCTGTGTTCATGCCTGTAGGTTTCAAACTTTTGCAATTGCTTCAAAATAAACTTTTCCTTTTGGGAAAATATTGCTTCTGAGCATGTGAAGGACAAAGAAACTGAACCAAGAACGGATACAGGGAAGCTACACATAAATGAAGCAGGCTAAGGAATATAGAATCAATCATTATTACACTAAGAATATGCGATTAAATGTCTGCAAAACAATGAGACTCATCAATCTGTATCTTTCCTCCCTGGGAAATCCGATCATCCGGCTGAGAATGGAGACAGTCGTTCAGACCAGGCCATCTCCTCGTGGTTGCCCTGGAGAGGCACGTGCGCATGTACGGAAAGCACCTCTCGGATTTTCAGCCCTTTGTCCCTATAGTTAAACCACCATATGAGAATATGGCTTTATAGGAAGAGATCTACTCTTCTTATACTGATGATAGAGGATATCACTAAAATTGATGTCTGCACTGAACGAAATCCTTTTTTTAAGTGAATGAATAGTAACAACATAGCACGATTACACACTTGAAATACCTTATGGACCCATTTCAACGGTTCCGATGCAGGAACGAATCAAACCAATTAAAACATGGTTTTATGTGAAGAAAATGAAACTTGCCAGATTTATAAATTCATATAATGCTTCCATAAACTGCAATATCACCACAACAGACTATAATAAAGTGAGTCATTCATTATTTTGTTGCTTAATTCCAACATAAAGAGTCAATAAAGGCCATTTAAGAGATTGACTTAAAACATATCTGCTATTTTTCCGGCATCTTTCACAACCACTATTCCTGTGATATTAAATAGTGTGTTCATTTCCTGGTGGAAGTGTGCTGTGTACATGTTCAGGATTATGAAGAAAAAAATCTGAAGTGTTATAACCTGCTATCGACATTTATTCTGCACATGCCTGGCAGGTTTAATAGGTCTGAATATGAAAAGTAAATAAAATTGAGGCAGTTATCCAGATATATTCCAGCCAGAAGAATAGTTTTACTTACAATTGGAAAGCTTTTCAAGACAAAGTAGTATTGTTTGTATGTGAACCCTAAAATTCCCATAATTTTTTTCTCTGCATGAGTAGATACAGCCTTCACAGTTATCTGCTTTATAACTTCATAGCCAGAGCTTCTTAGGCCTGAACTCATTTCTGTAGGGGGGGTTTGAATAAGATTTACAAAACCATGTCTATTTTCAAAATTGTAAGCTGGAATTGGTTGGCGTGTGCAGATAGGATGACCCAAATCCCCTACTGCAATATGTCCTTTTAAAAATATGCAATCATTTGATTTATCAACTACTCTAAATACTAATTTTCCTTCTGTTACTTTAAACAGATTTACACATTTCAAAGCAGGAGAGAAAAAGCATTAAGGCAAACCAGCAAGATATTCCGTATGCTTCTGTATTCTAATAAACCACGCTGCGGTTTTACATTAAAAAGCCTCTTTGGGCAAACATACTGTATTTATGATAATTAAAGACTAGCATTGTATGGGACATTTGTAATCAGTCAATAAGCAGTATGCAAGCATGGGGAACACCAGGAAATGTTTCCACTAAGGTGTTATGAAGAAATGACTGTGCAGGCACCAAAACAAAACACTGCATTTCACCCCAGATGCAAAGATGGGAGGAGGCTTGTAGGCATTCCTGTAATACAGGCACAGCATACCATTTTGTGCTACAGTTTACATTGATATAAAAATATCAGTTTTACACAGATGCTTTTTATCTATACTAGTGCCAGACAATAAAGAGACCTAGTCTCTTGTTGGTTAGGCTTTGGCCTGGTAACTATAAGGTCAGCTGTTCAAACCTGCCGCAGGGGGGAGATGAGACTATGTATTCCTATAAAGGTTTACAAACTCCCAAACCCTACAAAGGCTCTCTATGCACCCAAATGGACTCTGTGGCAGTGGGTTAAGGTCAGACATAGCAATGGTGAAAGTGGGAAAGAGGTGGACAATATCAGAACGTAGAGTAGTGAGTCAACACCAGTCACGTTTAGAGCAGTGGCCGAGAAGCAGAAACTGAACAGAAATGCAACTGTGGCAGGACAGAGATGGACGTCTGATTGCTTGTTGTTATGCACGTTGGACCAAAGTAGCTCTCATACTTAGAGGTAAAATGCTGTAACAGATAAGAAGTTAAACAAGATCATCCTTACCCCAAACCCATTGTCTTTGAGTTGATTTCTGACTCATAATTACCCTACCTAGGGCTTCCCAGGCTGTACATCTTTACAGGAGCAGAGAGTCTCAATGTTCTCCTATGGAGCATCTGGTGGGTTTGAATCTCTGGATTTTCATTTAGCAGTCCAAAGACTTCCTGAAAGTGCCACCAGGGTTCTTTGTGGAGACCACGCTTCCAAACCCAAACCAAATTCATTGCCATTGTGCTGCTACGGACTTATCATGACCCTGTAGGGTAGGTCAGATCTGTCCCTGTGAGTTTGCAACTATAACTCTTTATGCAAGTAGAAAGCCATCTTTCTCCCTCGGAGTGACTAGTGTTATGGAACGGCTGACCGGGCTGTTAGAAACCAATGCATAACCACAACGCCCTCAGGCCCTTTTATGACCATCCTTAGGGTATTACATTTTTGTGAGGCTGCCAAATTTCCTTCTTGACTAGATGTTTCTCAAAGAAAAGGACTATGTTCCAAGACAAACCCCCAAATCCATTACTTCAACTCTCCAACAACTCTAAAGTGTCACTTATTACTATTATTTATAATTACTATGCTTTTTACTAAGACAATTGAAGCAGTCATAATTAGAACAGTGCTTACAGCTACTTTTACTGAGTTAAAAATGTTGCTTTTCCCCTCTTTGCCCTTGATTCTAACGGTATTTGCCAAAGTAAACAAGCTCATTGATTTTGGATTTGGCAACTCATATAAATCATCCAAAATTTCCCCACAATCAGTCTAGACATTGTATTTCTCCTACTTATGGACCATCCAAAATCCTATCTCCTATTTATATGTAGCTGCCTGAGAACACAAAGCTCCTTCTTACCTGTGTGGTAAAACTTCCCTGAAAATCCAAGGTTGAAGGTAAAATTTGCAACCTGATTGCGCAGTAAATTTTGAGTCTCTAGTAATGCCTGAAATAAATAAGAAATTAACATGATTTTAGAAAATATAAATATGAAGCTTTGGTATGCCTCGTTTTCAAATGTGTGTGCATGGATGAAACAAAATAAAAGGGACATTATGGTGTTTTGAGTATTTGTGCTATACAGAATTCAGCTATTATTACTACTATTATTATATTTCTGTTTCTATTTTTATTGGTTACCAAATTATGACACCGTTAAGTCTCATGAACATTCGATGCTGCTGGGAGGCAATCCTCCAGCGACACAGCACAGAAATCACTTTTAATTTGTGTGTGACATTGCCTGGATTTCAGGTTATTGTCTATCCTTTCCTGGGGAATTTTCTTTTAAAATTCACAGGAGATTAATAAATTCTCTAGTAGTTTGTTTGTTTGTTTTACAGAATATAGAACTTTTATTTGAATTGCAATTTTCTATTTTATATAAATCTGCTACCCCTCTATCATTTTTAAAGGCTTTATTACTGAATTGAAAATTTGGGCTACAATTTTACAAACTGGTGAACTATATATAAATACATTTAATAGGATATTATTTGCAAATCTAGAGATATGAAAAAAAACAACCCTCAGGCCAGTGATATCATGTTTCTAACTACAGAAAGCTATTTTTGAAAAGTGACAACGAAAGTCTACATTGTTAGATTTGGAGTCTAAGAATGTTAATTTCTTGTTTAGAGATGGAATAAGGATCCACTGATAATAACCTTAGAATGAGCATATAATTATAGGCTCTCTTTTTTGCCTCTCTTCCTCTACTCCTAGTGCTATGTAACATAGTAGGTGCTTTAGTTCTGACCCAATTGCTGCCGAGTCGATTCTGTTTCAGAGTGTAGGACAGAGCAGGATTGCTCGACAGGGTTCCTGAGACTATAACACTGTATGGGAGAAGGCAATTGCATCTTTCCCTGAGGGAGCAAGATGAGGGTTTGAATGGCCAGTCTTGCAGTTCACAGCCTAACATTTCACCCACTGTACCATCCAGGCTCCTTGCTGCTGATGTATGCAGTATAATTTACAACTCTCATATCATTTGACTGTGAAGTTCGCATATTAGTCTACCGTGGAGTCAGTGTTTTTAGATTTTGCTTTGTTGAAGGATTTATTTATTTATTTTCTTTTAGGGAAAGCCTTCCTTCATTCTGATGAAAATTTAAAATCCCTTAAAAACTAGAGACACTAACAGGACTCTGATTTTTGATGACTGTTATCGATCTATTGAGGTGAATAAAGAGCCAGCGGTTTAGATAATTTCTTTTGAAACATTAGTTAATGGTTAAGGATTTGTTTCATGATTTTTTGAACTTTTGCACATTCAAAACTAAGGAATTTACCTACAAATTAGTTTACATTAGGGAAAAAAACAACACACAGATAAAACAACTAAAAGAACTAAAGATTGATAAACTCTATAATCATTGGTTATACAAGATCACAGCTACACTGAGTATAATTCTAGTCCCTCTTATTTAATATTACCCACTAGATGCATGAAGAGAAAAAAAAACCTAGACCATTAGTTTAAACAAGTTGTAGGATATGTAATAATAGTGATTATTTTCAGAAGGATAAAACTAAGTATCAATAAATAAAATAAAATCTATTGACATTGTTAAACTAACTGGCAGATACTATGAAAAATAGCCTTAAACATAAGATCATGGCTATTTTTTCCTCTGAATTCCTTTTCAGCATTTCTCATTTTACTAATGGCACATTCTCTGAGAATCTACCATTTGAAATGATATTTTATTTATTTATTTGAAATCCTTCCTTCTTCCCGATTTTTTCCCTATACCAATCCCACTTATCAATTTTCTAGCTCTGAGTTCTATTCTGTCTTCTATATTCATTTACACAGCACCCATTTTTAAATTCAGTACACATTTCGTATAAGAATTGCAGTAATCAGAGTAAATGCAATGTTAAAATTAATAAGCATATCCAAACTTGAACAATTCTACTTACCAGGTAGACACATGAATATGTGGTTGCAACTTATGACAATTCCTAAGAGTGAAATCTGGACCCTACGCTGATATATGTCATATTTTTATAGTCGTTAGATGCCAATACATAGGTTTGGAGGCACAGTCACCTCACACACAACAGAACTAAGCATTGTCTGGTGCTGTGCCATCCTCAAGATCATTGCTATGTTTGCGTCCAATGATGGAACTATTGTGTTGATCATCTCACTGCGGGTCTTTCTCTTAATTATACCAACTCTGATAACCTTCTTCAGGGGCTAGTCCCTTCCTGACAAGCCCAACACAGGTGAGCTGAAGTCTTATCATCCTTGCTTGTAAGGAGCCTTCTGTGTTTACTCTTTCTAAGATAGATTTGTTTATTATTGTGGCAGTCCATAGTATTTTCTTTACCAGCACCAACATTTTTCTTCCTAGGTCATGGTATTTTCCATGGCGTCATATGCATTTAAAAGGTGGACATTGAATAAGGAGGAATGAAGAAGAATCACTATGTTTGAATTAGGGTGCTGGCAAAAAATAGTGAAGGCAACATGGTTCGTCAAAAGAACAAACAAATCTTTCTTGGAAGAAGAGTAACCAGAACGCTCCTTAGAAACAAGGGTGTCATTTCACAGATGTTTGACACTTTGTCTGAAGAGACCAGTTCCTGGAGAAAGCTATCAAGCTCGGTGAAGTGGAATGACAACAACAAAAGAAGGAGAGACCCCTGAGAAGACCACCAAGTTCTTTTGTTGGAGCCCAGGGCTCCGGTTGTGAGGACGGTGCAGGACCGGGCTGGGTTCGCTCTGTTGTCTACAGGGTCATTTGGAACCAGTTCAATGGTGCCCAACAACATCAACAAAACTCAAATGCACCAATTGTTCTTTGTGTTCTTTACTCATTAGTGAGTTTTGCATATTCAGAGGTGATTGAAGACACTATGGTTTGGGTCAGGCACATCTCAATCCTAAAGGTGACATATTTGCTTTTGAACACCTGAACGATGCTTTCGTTAGCAGCTTTAGCCTGTGTAATGTACTGTTTGATTTCTTGACTGCTGCTTGGATGGGCATTGAGAGTGAATTCAAGTAAATGAAATCATGAAAAATTTAATACATGAATATATGTCATCAAGAAACAATTTAGATTAAGGAAATGTGCAGAATGCTTTGGTACATTTTAATGAAAAAATAATAAAGATGGAATGACTTAATTTTCCTTCAATTATTTATCATTTTTGGCCAAACCACCATGAAACTTACTGCCATAGATTCAAGGCTGACTCATAGGAAGTCTGGGGAGGTGTGCGTTGACCTGCTAATCCTAAAGTCAGCAGTTCAAAAGCACCTGCCTTTGGTGGGAGAAAGATGAGTGTTTCTGCCTCCAAAAAGATTTATAGTCTTGGAAACACACAGTAGGGTCATTATGAGAGCAGTTGGGCAGGCCCTCCTCATCTTTTTCTTGTGTCCCACCTTTCGCTTCTGCATCCTGTAGTCTACGGTACATGCTGGAATCATGCTGACAATCTTAAGGCAATAAGCGCAGTTCACACTTGAGTTTGAGAAAGTGACTCATTAACAACTCAACGTTGGCAAAATTACCATTTCTCTAAATCTTCAGTTTATCTGTGAAAAATAAAAATGCTTATCATTCTAAGGATATGATGTGCAAAGTACTTTGTATATAGTAATAACTCAATCAAACCCAGATTAAACTCTTCACCATAAATTTTATTCTGAATTCTAGAACCTAGAGGCCAGAGAAGAACTGCCCTTTAGGGTTTCCAAGGCTTTAGTATTCACGGAATCAACAC